GGATTATCGCGCGCGCCATGATAATCGATTATTGTTGATATCTTTGATACTTTCTTTTTAGCAACTTGGCCCAAGGCAAAGGTTTTCCCTCGTCGGCACTTCGAGGTCCTCAAACTTCGATACTGCCGTTGCTGCTACTACTAGAGCTCGTTTCGTAGCCTTCAACTACCCTTATCATGCCACTCCTTCATTTCATCACTAACATGCTTTAGTAGTGCTCCGACATCTCCCCAACCGTATGCGTTTCTCGAGTGTACTTTCTTTTCGGCATTTGACTGTGGACGGGCGCTCCGCATCCGTACAAGCAGATCTACGGCCTATTCCAATGAGTGTTAAGAATCCTGTATATCGCGTCTGGAACAGTGATTTTCAGCGCAAACGATTTACTGTGTTTCAACCTGAGAAATGGTGTAGCATATGGTATCTCATTCTGTTGTCATTTCCATTTTGAACATCATTTGTTTTAAGTCGTCCGATTAAGCAAGATCATGAAAATACGACTACTCCCATAATAAAGCGATATATGCAGTATGTGGCACTTTGATCCACCAACATCATCCTTGAGACCTTGAAGTGGAGAAGTGAGGGGGCACACCACAGGACACATACAGGGACTTACACTATTGGTCGATAAACTTTCGAGTGTGCTTGTTAAGTTCATTGGCTTATTACTGCGTCTCAACTCGCTACTAGAAGTGACCGACATTTAGCCCTCGTGATTGCGTTAGCAACACACCTCGCGGCATCAGCCCTATCAACGTGTTTAGAATTGTAGAGCATCTCCCTCCCATAGTGTATTGAGAAGCAGAGCTACACTAGGGAATCCCAAATACTATCTAGCTCTAGAAAACACCTTGTGTTAGACCTCAGGAATGTCTTCTTATGAGACTCCCCTGAAACTGGGTAAGCTCAGTTGACCAACGGAGTGCATCCCCCAAGCGTTCGGTAACCTATCACACGGCTCCTCCCTCCCTCCCGAGCCCAAGGACGATGCTATCAACACCAAGTCCTCGGACAATGTGATGGGGCCACACTACATCGCCAGGATTAGCGTCAACTACAACCGACCTAACGATGTAATATAACTCAACCTTTCGAAGGGCCTTTGAAGCACCGGTAGTGGCGCTAAGTACCACACCAACGACACAACGTATCTGTCTCTTTGCCCGCTGAGGATTCTCGTCGAGTAAACTGGCCCAACGAGTTGGTGTCGACGAGTGGTTGTGATTTGAATCGTTTGCAGTGTTATATAAGGCGCATTCACTGATGTGATTAGCCAAGGACTTGCCTACGACTTCGACGAGTTGTTCTTTGGTCCCTTAGCAATGAGTCATGAAACCCCAACACCGATCTAACATCAACTCCACACTGTGTGTTAACCACTGACACGTATCATCAACACTGACTTTCAATATACTCTATTATTAATGTGCATACTTATTGTAACGATATGCGGTGTACAAAATGCTATTGTCACATTTCCTGGTTGTCAATCTCCCCGACTAGCTGGTGGGAATCGTTGATACACCAACCCCATCGGAGATGGCATTAGTATAGCATTCAAAAAGGGCCAGAGTGCTCCCGATCCAGCAGCAGCTGATGATAATGATGACGGTCTAGTAGAGAGGGGTGTTGCACAGGATAGCAAGGACGTGTATGAGGGGGGAGGGCTCCATCTAGGACCAGGAATGAGGACTGAGCTTGTTGTTGGACTACTCAGTCGAGGATAACTGAAGTGACACCTCAAGTACTACTACTTGCGAACTACGATGTATGCATATCAAAAAACAGGATTATATTTTCATCAAAACCACGAGGGATACTCATATCATCCCTATCACGATCGCGTAACAGAATAACAAAGTTTTTCTCAGAGTTGAGCTCGTTTCTCATCCCTTGTGCGAGCTAGTGTAGCCAGAGTATACCCTCTGAGCTTATCTATAGGATACAAAAGGCGTGCTACCGTGGGGACGTCATTGTGATGATGCCCACGTTACTGCCATGAACAGCAGCACCAGTAGTGGTAGTAGTAAGTGAAGGTGGTGCAGTGTAGACTGGAACACTGGACTGGCCTATAAGACAACATACCTCTACTCTTATCACATACCCTACCAGGCTGGACCGATGTCGGATCCACCCAGGTGTCTACAACTCGTGGCTGGATACGCTCAGACGCATCTATAGGAGAATAAACAATTCGAAAAGTGTGACTCAAAATCCCCACCGTTTTGTGTAGCTTCTCGTCGCGAAGTCCAACTCTCAACAGGGATGGTAACCTGGTCGTTATGATGATCATGATGAATCTGAACACCATGGAACAGTTGTTGATACACGTTCACTGTTATCTCTTACTTCATCCCTTTCCACATGTTGATGCCTGTCCATAGATGCTCCTGTCGAGGGCACATGCAGGGCCTGTCAAGAAGAGGTGCTCCTCAGCCAAGCCGCGGTAAGCATGGTATTGCATCACGCAGGATAGACAGGAACGTTATTAATGCATATCGCAACAGCTGATTCAGGAAGTAATAGAGACAAGGCCACCCCGGTAGAATGTCGATTCGAGTGAGAACACGGATGATAAATCCGGTAGAGCAGCGTGGTGTATATTGTGGATCTCATCATGTCCCTCACCTAAACTCTTCGATCTACGTTCGAGATGCGGACATATGGAGGAACCCCGGGGATGAGATTTCTCACAAAATCGCTGCCACCGGAATTAATTTCCTTACATTAATCGTTGACCCCTTATTGACCGTTTTATCCACAGAGCCCCTCTTCTTCCTCTCAACTGTCCCCTTTTGTGTCGAAGCTTTAGACCCACGCCTTAGACTACTTGCCATCGTTGATACCCCCAAGCGGGGACTAGCACTCTCACTACCACGTCCCCTACCGTGCCACATTTTAGATTCATCTGCACCTACTTAATCAACTACTACACCTGCCAGGCTCGGACCATTACCTGTAGTAAGGATAGAAGACTCCCTCCTACTCTCGAGGGACGAGCCACGCCTCGTTCTAGTTGTGGAGCTCTGTAGACTATTCGAACGGGAAGAGTTCACTGCAGTTGGAACATGCTTCACAAACTGGAAAGTAATGATGATATTATCAAAACCCGATGAGATGGGGGATACCTCAGCCCAGGTGACTTCTTTCCCTCGTCTAAGGCATGCCTCGAGGAAACTTCGTAAGGCCAACACTTCACGCCGGTTTAGACTGCGTACCCACCCAGCTGAGGACCGAACACTATAAGGTGTTTTTCATTATACAACAAGAACTCACTGTTCTTGTCCAATTGACTTCTTATGGTCATAGGAGCACAAGTACCCTTCTTGGTGATCATACGATAGACCTCGTCAAGCGGTGGCCTAACATCGGTGCCTCTACTACTGCTAACTTGTACAAGGCTTGTGGTGTTTGTTGGCTGATTCAACCTGCATTTACACACTGTGGGCTATTATGGAACAATAATCGAAAACAAATCACTAAGTAACGATATGAATATGCAGTTAATGACGAGTGTTTCTTATGTATGATTATATTGATATATCGTATAATAATGCAATCGGAAATCCGATAAGTTGATAGTAATCTGACACTCATCGGACCCCCCCCCCTTTGGAAACGAGGTGTGTACTCATATTTTCGGCATAACTTTACACTCCTCGTATCGTTCCCAAACTTGCATCATATGGTTATCCCAGTGTTGGGAGGCGCCAAGCCAAATCCCAACCCTACCAGAAACTTAGACAAACTCACAGGAAACTGGATGTGCTACAACGCTCGCAGTTTATCATATACTCCAATAATATGATGATGCTGAGCTTACACTTCGGTATGCACAGCCTTACGGAGCTTGGTCATGACTTCACCACAGAAAATTGAGTCCCGACCTCCTTCGACGTGGCGGTAGAGGAACTCCTAGAGAGTATGATCATTGACCCCAGGTTAGCGATGATGTTACCCTGAATGCATCGACGTTAGTAAAGCCGATACAGCACTCAGCTAGGAAGGGCATCTCCCTGGCTTGGCCGTCCATGACCTATCCTCGTTGGTGATACTGCTTGGAGGAGTACGACAAGTCTACTACCCGGACTGTAACGTAGCTTGGCTTTACACTCGAGATGGACTCAACTGTAAGCATGACTAGATGGTTCAACACCTGATAGGGACAATGTGATAAGCAGTTGAAGTGAGCTTGCCTTTTCGGTGAGCTCCTCTAGATAGCCTTCCACAGGGATGTGCATGATCCATTCGGAGCCCCTCAGATGATGACTATCTACTTCATCGAGTTGTGGTATGAGAGAAGATTTGCTTACCAGTACGATCGGCAAAGTTGCCATAAATGTTGTTCTCACCTCCATCGTAGCGGAGAATCTGATAAGAGTCAGATGAGATGCATAACGAGACCAGATAGTGTCGTCACATCTAAACCTTGAATATTATTATTAGAGAGATTCAATGGTGCGTGGATAAGCGTCATTAGAGTGACAGAAAACTCCTATCGAAATGACACAAAATCCCGGGCTGTAGCACAGTATCAACAACGTTGCGACTACGAAACGCTTATAAAATGTGGTCACTCGATTTGCACTATTCTTGAAAGTTGACCTTTGGATTCTTAAAATTCTCAAAAAGGAATAGCACAAAAATAATAGTGTGGGTAGCTATTGCCATACATTTTTGATACAACCCTGATTAACTGGCTGAGACGTAGCCGTGCTCAGGGGTTGACTGTAGACTGTATGAATTTCAAGAAAGTTATAACTGCAAAAATAAAGAAAAAAATATAACTGGTAAAATGCCGTTAAAGAAGAAATTAATCAGTGTTCATATCGAGGCCCACTTCAGCGAGAGATATTCTTATCCGTAGCAGTGTGGAGGAGTAGCGGACGGTGACAGGATTAATTGACTTGGGTAACGCAGAGAAGGATATTATAGAGGGAAAGAATCATCACATGGTATAGTATACTGTGCTATGTAGACAGAGCCGGCTACAGAATGCAGCAAAGAGTCGCTTCCATGTTCCGCAAAGTATATTATCACATAACATGATACAACTAGTCATGCCAAACAACAAATCGTCATGATATGTTTTACGCAGCGAGCTAGGACTAGTCGTCAGCGGTCAAACTTCGAGTCGAACTTAATCTAGTCATATGTCTGTATCGAACCTAGCAGCATCTACCATGCATCTTGTCGTTTTATCTCAACATTACTCATCGTCGCTAAACAGGCGAATTATTGGGCGTGCGCTTATCAAAGTGCGCTTATTCTGAGCGGAGCGATGAAAATTGGGTGCAAATCATTCGCTGTGCGCAAGATCCGCCGAAACGCCTGTCATATTGCATAGTTGGGTGATTCCTTCCACACTCCCCGTTAATGTTCAAGAACACGTTCCAATCGGGCTTCCTATCGGTCCTGTACTCGGTGGGCAGTAAGCCCCTCCAGATTTGGGCTGATCAAGTTAGGAATGGTCACATCAAACGCCTCACCGATTCGGATATTCAATCAAGTGTAAGTTGACGAGCATCAGGCAAACGTAGAAATACCCTTTTCAGGTGTTGGAGATCATGGGGACGAATGTTGCTACTACGTTTATCCGATGCCCGCTTGATCCGAAGAGAACTCTGGGCATCAAATTACCATTCTTGGTTATGATAATTAAAAACGTAGGCCACCACCTTGCTCCTGAGGGTGGACGTTAATCATTTATACTCTCAGTTGAAGAAGTATTTTACCTTTGAAGTAGCCGTGCTCGACGATAAGGGCATTCGCCGGAGATTCCGAGCGTCTAATTATCAGAGGACTACTCGAGTGAAGCCTTTCATCTGCACGATGCCAATGAGGCTCGACGAGGGCTGGAATCAGATTCAAGTTAGCTGTTATATGACCTATTATATGTAATTGCTTCCTCAGTTCAACCTCTCTGACTTCACTCGAAGGGCGTATGGTACCAATTACATCGAGACTCTGGCTATCCAGCTCCACGCTAATTGTCGCATCAGGAGGGTTTACTTTTCGGACCGTCTTTACAGGTATTCCTCATCGTCTGACTCAGTCCTCTCCGATGATTGTTATTTCAGTGAGGAGGAGTTGCCACCAGAATTCAAGCTCTTCCTACCCGTCCAAAAGTCAATCCCCAATGCGGCTGCCGGTTCCCCTCAAGCTGCCATAGCTACCCCTCCCCCTCCTCCACCTGCTGCCCATGCTGTAGCAGCACAGTAGACGATATGCTAAGGTCTGCCTGTGGGAGTATTTAGTGTAAGTCCATGGAATATCGTACTGATCGTGGACTAGAGACTGAGATAATCGACTGTACTATCATTGCTGTTGTGTTGTTAAGTTCGTACAGAGGCGATCAGCTCTATTCCCTATGGGATCCTTCTAGATATCGAGATGATCGATGGGATCTCCTTTGAGTAGCACAAGTTTTAGAATGGGTATCGGGGTATTGTCCCTTCGCGACATATCATAGTTGCTCGAGTGCCGTGCCTTCTCATTACTGAACAGCACTCGAGCCGCTCTCAATAGGTCATCTTATCCCATTCGTGGAAGGAGAGGGATTCATCGAGTTGTTCCGTACCAAAGTTATACCATAGGCTTAGCGTTTTCCAGGACTCGTTTGCGGTTCTAGTTGTGACACGCTGGGATGTTTCGTGAGGTTCCGATCATTACGATTGTTGGAGATATTCCGTTAAGGTTGCTACCGGCATCTCGGGTATACCATTGAAAGGGCGCCCGTGATAACTCATGTTCAAGCTCCAAGTTGAACTCGAGACTTTCCGGCGGGCGTGTTGCTCCACTGAGTTAACTCAAGTCGAATTCCCACTAAGAACTGCCCTCAACGAGAGCCAAAGAAAGCTTATCAGCCAATACAATGCAAGTAGTTGATACCCAATCATCTGCCCAACTTAGACAGGGTGCTCGAGGGGCTTCTGTTTCGTCAATGGACTTTCCAAGAAGCCTCATGACGACAGGGACGGCGCCCAGAGGGAGGAGCTCGAGTTCAACCACTTCCCGAAGTATACGCCTAGCTAACGGTGCTGTATGACGGGCCGCAGTTACCTCGTTGATTAGCGGTTGAACTAGTTTGTGTACGAATGAAGGAAGATCCAACCATAGGGGTGGGTCTACAACGATTGACAGGATCAACACCAAAAGAGGAGTTCGTGAACAGTCGCTATTGGAGACGATGACGTTTAAAGCGGCTTCTTGAACGAGGGCATCTCGAGCCTCCTCAGAGAGAGCGCGAAGGGTCACCCAGAGCGTAACAGCACTAACGACTACGTGAGCTGGGCAAGGGCCTTTTTCTGAGTTGATAGCGACCGTCTCACAAGCGGGGACGAGTGAGGCTTGAATGAGTCCAGCATCGATTCGACTTCCCGAATTGAATCCAACCAGGAGGAGCTGAGCCCATTGGATGCACCATTGAGCTCGCGCTGTATTCTCAGTAGGGGGTACCACAGGCAGATCAGAGGACGATGAAGGGAGAGCAGAAATCGACAACAAATAGGCGGTGCCGTGAACTCGTGATTCAGACATCTCAGCAAGAGCTATGACGTATGGATCAGGATCAGCACGATGATGGAAGGAGGCTTGGGTGCACACCTTGAGCAGTACAGGGATTACAGGGCTGAGCACCTCGTTACCACTCGAGCAAAGGCGTCTGGCAATGTCATGAACACACGACCTCAACATTGATACCACTATACGGCTCTGTGTTGTGTCGGTCGAGTCGTTCATAAGGCAATGGCTAAGTAGATGGAGCAGACCATCGCAGATTGAAGCGTTCGTGAACGTAGCGGATGTAAGAACTGTAGAGGATAGAGCCTTGATAATAGCCGGACCATTGGCACTCAAGTCAAGGCTCGCCCCCGGTACTGTTGCTATCAGCTTCCTCATTGCGTGTATGAGTTGTTCTGATTCCTGCTCAATTGAGCAAGCTCCTCGATGCAGACACCGAGAGACGACTTCAACTATACGCCGATCACGTTCGAGCTCAGGCCTGCGGCTTATCAATTCACTCATCACGTCCATCAATCTACGACAGGTCAGAGCATCAATGCCGTCAACGTCAGCGGCCAAAAACACAATAGTGTCAATGATCACTTCAGTGCTGTGTAAAGTGCATTCCTCGGCCTCCCACGAGAAGCTCGCGGTTGACAATAGCTCAATAAGACAGGCTCCCTGTGGCGATTGATCGAGTGATGCATGCAGGCTCGCCAATAACAGAGCGACATTGAAATCCATCTCCGATCTGTTGAAACTACCAGTAGGAGCCAGAAGGGCCTCAATATGGCCACCACACTCGTAGACATCGAAGAACAGCCATGCGAGCAGACACACAGCTACGCTCCTATCTAGCTGTGGGGACATGGCCAGAGCCAGCTGCCAGTGAGTGGCAGTAGGAAGGCGAGATACGCCTTCCAGGGACGATGACAATAGCCCGGCAGGTAGGGAGCCGGTGAGAACTAACTTAGCGAGTCGGCCACCACCGTCTACACTCAGAATAGCAAGTCGTAGTTCTGGAGAGTTTATGAACAGTTTTCGGATCTCCGGACAAATGTTGTTGTCGCTCAACTGTTCGACGAGTTTAGCACAGAGAGCAACGCCCTCCTTAACAGAGCGGGCGTTAGCCGAGGCCTCGAGTAGAGTATGGACCACTTTAATTCCCTCATCTGGGGGAAGGGAGGGATGAAGATCAATCGCTGCTCCGAGACAGGGCATGACTAAGGCGATGTCAATACCGCTGCGGACTGAATCAACAACACTAATGAGCAGCTCCGTCGCATCGACAGGACTGTTGAGGAGGCTACAGCAATCAGCAGCCATCTGGAGGATCCTGTGGCTCCTCGGAAGATGATTCATACGAGCCAGGGCAGCGCCAGCACGTATCATGTTAGGGAGGCATCGGACTTGACTTGGGCCGGTCAATAGGACTACCTCAGCGAGCGGTTCAACGGTCGAAGGGTGCTGACCTACTGCCTTAAGGAGGCTCCCTAAAGCACCCTGGCATACACAGCTGCTCAGGCGACTCGCCAAGGCAGAGTCCGCGCACAAGAATGACAATACACAATGGCTCGCGGCAGCAACAACATCAGGCTTGTTGGAAGAGGACAGCAGTTCAACTCCCCATTCGCATGGCTTATGATGGGCTGTGTCCTCTGACGGGTGGGCATCATTTGGGCTCAGTAACGTCAGAGCACACTGGAGGCTGTCCACTTGGATCATCTCGTTCGCCAACTCCGAGGCTAGGATCGATGTTAGGCCGGTACTGAGTCTATTGCGGAAGTCGATAATCTCACACGGCGGAGCGATGCAACCTGCTCGGGTAGTTAATAGTCGTGCTAGTGAATGGTCGTCTCTCGATAGCCTAACCAACAGCTTCAATGCTTCGATCATTAAAGGCGACTCCTTAGTAGAAGGCAGGGCATCAACAAGACGGCAGGCTAAGTCGAAATCGATAAACCAAAGGGCTTGCGGATCATCCACATCAATTGAGTGTACGACATCCACGACGACATTCAGCAGCTGCAGAAGGTGCTCATCCATCGGCCCTTCAAGACAGTCACTGAGCAGAGGGCTTCGATGGTGAGAGATGGTCCGGAGCCAGGGCGTCATCGTTGAGGCGTGAGGGCTCCATTCGTGGAGGAGGCCCAGCACCAAGCGACGAAGGACAACGCTTTCAGCAATGTACTCTCTTAGGAGCATCTCGCAGTCAACAGCAGTCAACTCGGACAGCAAAGTGCTGCTGATGCGTATAAGAATGTCGACCAATTTGGCTACTTTTCGCCGAACCATTTTCGACCGTTTTTCATCGTCATCAACATCAAAGTCGATCTTGCCGATATTGACGGCCTGTAGGATGCCTCTGAGTATCTCCTCAGTGGCCATGCCTGATTTGATTGACCCACTTGCCAGTGCCTCCCCACTACGGATGAGGTCGTCTAGTGAGCCCATCGATAAGATATCACCGTGGGCGCAATGATGGGCGAAGCAATGGAGGCACACAACACTGCGGGGCGTTCGGACTAGTGTAGCGTGGCAAGAAGAGCAATAGTGAAGGGGCCGGCTGCTCATTTGGGGCGAATACAAACTCATGGATGGAAATCTCCCATCCTTATTCGTGATTGGACGAACTCAAGAGTAGTTTGATGGAGACCGATTATTACTATGGTCCCCACATGTTCACCATGTTATGGGCAGGGGAGTGCCATCTCGAAGAAGCTTAGGCCTTCATCTTTATTGCGACCAAACGAGACACCAGTCTAATCCGACTCCCAAGACTTGCATCTTAGCACATGATGGTGTGCCTCGCGCCCGTACCCTCTTGAACTGTGGACAAGCTGATCGCTTCGGATGATCTCTCGCGAGTGAGATGTGTAGAGAGCCCGATTGAGACATCCCCTAATGAGCCGTGACATTGAGCTCGTCCTGGTTTACACAGACGACTGTTGGAGCATCAACTCAGCGTCGGGCTCTCCTTTCGTTATTGCTGGTCTTGGCTCTCAGCATCGGATGAGATGAGCGCACCAGTAACCGAGGGATGCCACGGTAAAATATGTCCGTGTGTAGTGTTTTAGGATGCCTACCGCCCAGGATACCGCAGTTGAAAATGTGCTCATCTTCAGGGCTGGAGGGACTCATATTACGGAATAAATATTCTCAGCCTGACTGAGATAGATCGGAGCATCATATTTTCTCATTTCACGAGAATCCTATGAAAATGACAGTGGTGGTACTTCCTCGGAGTGGGTGATTCGTGTATGCCACTACCTCTTGGTGGACATGAATACGCTGTGTATGATTCCTAGCCAGGGCAATTCATTACACTCTAAAACTGGGATGATACAATGGGGCTGAGCCGAGAATCGAACCCGGGACCTCGCGCACCCGAAGCGCGAATCATACCACTAGACCACACAGCCGATGAAAACTCACCATACTCTCGGACTGCACATTCATCTCACATCTCGCAGTCGGACTTTAGAGATGCTTTCCACATTTTTATTAACGATGGACCATATTTCTTTTTTTCCCAAAATTGCAAGGTTATGGGGTGTAAACTTCTACCTCGTCATTATATATGAGTAACGTTCACGAATATAACCGTTTCTCCTCAATCTGTTGTAGCTTATCACTACATCTCGGCCTTGTCGAAGTTTCATCCAGAAACACTACTGACTAAGCGTGAGATACTAGGTTTTCGGATTTGTTCAAAAAAATACGCTGCTTATAATGGGAATTAAATATAAATATATTATTAAAATACCGTCTTAAATTAATACCTGCAGCTTACATATGTTCCCATATAAACAACTATCGCTCGAAATAACCATCACCAAACCCGTGTTCATTGAATCACAAACAATGGATCATTCGGAAACTAAGTTGAAGTGATAAAGGCTCGATTGCACAATCTTAGACATTGATTTTGCATACCTGCGAACCGCGCATGAACTGCAGGAATCAGTGATGATGACGATTCATTCCTGTACGGTTTACTATTCTCCTATCAACCTCTCCCTGTGAGCCACTAGTGGCAGCATCGTAACCGGCCTCAAGCTGGGCTTGCTGGTAAAGGGCGTATCGACAGGATTCAAGACAGGACTTGGACTGTATAAGAAGATGCGTCACTGCGCCATAAAATTCAGTGTTGGGATGATTGTTTGGTTCCCTCAGCTGAGTTCAGAAGCTTCCTCACTACACACGACTTGGATTTTGCGGATAATCAGCCAGAATTCGTCGAACTTTGCGGGAAAAGAATCATACACGTGGCTGATATAGTATATTATACGAGCCACGAGCGAGACGTTAAACCGAGCCCACCAAGATAAAGGCAATAAGATAAAGGAATGAAAATTGGACTGATAAAACCTACGTCATTGACCTTAGTCGACGGTGGCTGAGGAACTTGTTGTTGATCTGGCAACTCCTTTCGAACCACTGAGTGAGTACTATATACGACGTGCAATGAGCTTATCTACCTTCAGGATGGTCCTTCTCGAATTCTCTTATATACTCCTTCATTGGAAGTATCTTCACTGGTAGGGCTGACGGGGAGTACGAGGTCATGTCAATGGGAAGCTGAGAATAAGAAATTGAACGAGTCAGAAGTCAATCCTTTCACTAGTGTATGGGTAGCATTCGATCTGATCTCAGGTATGGATATGAAACCAATAACGATTTCCAACTGACTCAAGCGTTGAGTATATCAACTCATATCTAGCTGGTCTACTAGAATTGAAAGGCAGATATCCTAAACACAGTTCACGAGTCACTATATACGATCGTCATTTCGCTCGCTGATGCAGTGTACATGGGTCCGCTCAGTCACGAGCGACTACAGCAGCCCCACTATCTGAGTTGAACTCATGATAAGGGTGAACAGTGCAGTTACTGATATGGTATAGAAATGTTCGAAATGTAATATTCACAATCATGCGTGTTTCAAAGCGTGATATCCACTTCGTATTTAAGAGTCGGCACCTGATGATTGAAGCGTCATTCTAGAAATCTCCCTAAGAAGCAATAGAGCCAGCTCAGATTAAACCCTAAAATGATGATAAAAGAACTTGTCCGAAATGAAGATAGCCTTGCGTCCACCTCATAGGGCTAAATACATAACCTTTAGGATATCAAGAATAGAGTATTAAATGAAGATCAAATCAGTTTTGGAGTATATGTTCGTCCTCCTCAGCTGAGCTCAGGAGTTTCATCATTAATCATTGAAGTTAGGGTAGAAACGTTCAGAAACCAACAAGAATGTCCCAAACTTTTCATAAATTTGCATACTGTCACCGACACATGTAGTTGACCATGTGCATATTCCACATGGTGCCTCACAAGAGGAACTCACTTATATGATACGATAGGGAATCATGAGTACTGCGCTTTGACGAAATACACTATGAATATAATACCTCACTGACATTCATATATTGATTTTATTGAATCT